AGCTCTCTCTCTTCAGCCACTAGTTCTCTTCCAACCAAATCCCACCTATGGTCAACAATTGTCTTTTCCTGTTTAAATCACCTGCCCAGAAACTTTCAGCAGTCATGTTCCTGACCAGCTTCTTAGTTACCAAACTGATTTATAGATCTGTTGCTCCATCCTCCATCTGAACAGTTGAAACAAAAGCCAATTCTCTCCTTAAGCATTTCCAAACTGCTATCTCAAAGTCTCCTTCCACAAAAACTTAAATTAAGCAGTCACAGGAAGAATACAGTACTTTGTGTTTTGTTTTTTGTTTTTTGTGGTCCCACACTTTTTGGCTGAGCTGCAGCAAAAATGGATGAGGACTGCAGTTTCCTTGCAATCTAAGGATCTGCAAGCCCAAACAGAACCCAACAGAGGATGTTGTGTTGTGTTTTTTTCTTCAGCGCAAAAAGTGAGGAATTTCAGTTTCTCCCTATTGTTCCAAAACTGTTTCCTAGAAATTCACATGGAGGAAGGAAACTGTATTCCCCATGTCATCAAACAGCATGTGCAGGGAAGCAAAAAAATAAGCACATCATACTGCCTTCAAATGAAGGTATGTGGGTAAGGATGTAAGAGCAACAGCTCTATTATAGAATCCTTCTCTGTATCTCAGTAGCTTTCCACACGCAAAATGTTTCTATGGGGAAATCATTCACACATGAAGTCTTCCACTCGCATTCCAAAGCTGAACAATTTGAGGAAGAAAATGCGGATCAATATTTGGTTCATATTGTGTTCCCCAGCAGCTGGTATATAGAGGCACTCTGCCTTTGATCCTAGAAAGAACAAATAACTATCCTCACTAGTAACCATTCCCCGGATCAATATTCGGTTCATGCAAAAACCAGCTACATGTCTATGGGAAACTTTCCAGAAACTGCACCCTCCATCTTGTGTTCCCCAGCAGCTGGTATACAGAGGCACTCTGCCTTTGATCCCAGAAAGGACAAATAACTATCCTCACTAGTAACCATTCATAACCAGTGGACCTTTACCAAAGCAGGACAGGAGTGGATTTTCTACCCAATATATGGCCCACGTGGTAGGGGAAAGAGTAGCTTACCGTATTTTTCGGTCCATAAGACGCACCTTTCCATAAGACGCACCTTTCCATAAGACGCACCAATTTTTTAGGAGAAGAAAACAGGAAAATATAATCTGTTTTCTTCGCTCCATAAGACGCACAGACTTTCCACCCCCGTTTTGTGGGGGGCAAAGTGCGTCTTATGGTGCGAAAAATACGGTAATACACAGTGTTTAAATTGGGTTCTCCTCTGACAAGTGCATAACAGAAAGTCTGCACTAGGGATAACATTCATGGAGTTTTCTGCCTGTCCTGCTTTCACAAAATTCACACTTGACCTAAATACAAAAGGCAGAGCCTTAAAGGGGGCTTTTCAAGGCAGTGTGCAGACACCAGGAGAGTTCTCTAGGACCCTGTACTGTTGTTTTGGGGGCCAATTTTCACACTGGATTTTGTCAAGAGTTTTTGTTTTCCTTTTTTTTAATGCTAGACTTATGTTGGAAATTTACTACATGGATTCCAGGCAATTAAAAAAACACCAATAAGATCTAGTCCAGTTCAAGTGATCACAGGTCCCCCTCCATGAACATACAGTACAATTAAACTGATGTGGCATAAGGAGAGGAATGTGTGCAATTGATGTGGCATAAGGAGAGGAATGTGTGCATTCCCACAATATACTCACTGGGTAACTTTAGACAAGGTATACACTTTCAGCCTCAGCTCCTGATCTTTTAGATGCAGCCAGTTATAACTATCTGATGTACAAGGTTGTATTTGCAGAGATATAGACATCACTTCTTTCATCTTGATTAACTTGTCTATATATATATACACACACACACTAGTGAGGATAGTTATATATATCCTGCCTATCTGGTCAAACGACCACTCGAGGCGGCTACCAACATATATAACCATATATAAAATATAACACAATTTTAAAACATCAATACACAAGTTAATCAAGATGCAGCAAAACCAGTAAAGAGGCCTATGGAGCCTTAGAGCCTATTTGTCATAGTGTGCAGCTGACAACGAAGATTACATATCATGTATCATCTGAAAAAGTCAAAATTAATCAGTGTTAACCTTAGACCACCTTTTCCACAGATCCCCTTAAATATATTTTGTTGCTGCAGACCACCAAGGCTTAACTCAAGATTTCAAACCCTAAAGTGTATTAAATATTTATTTAAAGTTTCTCATGAAGGGTCTCATGGACAGATATCCCTTGTTATAATGGTGACACTTTTTAAGATGACTGGAAGAAGCTTCATTTCGTTTTGAACAGGATGCACCTTCATCAACAGCACCAGTTCTTTTACGTTTCAAATTCAGGCAGTGATCCATTCTGAGACATAGTCAAAAATGTATTGTTACAAAATTCACTGCAATAATATTGAAAAATCACGTTAAACAACAATAACCAAATGGTTTTACTAGCAGAAATCGAAGAAGAAACACAATCATGAAATCCATCTGAACACTCACACTGACACTGACTGACTCAGACTCTCTTATCCCATGACTTCTGATTGTCTGAACAGCAGCAAGAAATGTCATGTGCTATCTCTCAGCCACTGAGCATCATTCACTTGCATGTTCTCACGATGTACAGAAATATCAGTTATTTGCTATCAAACATTTTCATAACCAATTTTTACTTTTGTTTCTTTTTCGAGATGGTAGGTTACAAAAGCCAAGTTTTACACAAACAAGGAAGGGAACTTAAGATTTTGTTATATGCTTTTCTTTCTTTCTTTCTTTCTTCTCTCAGCCACTGAGCATCATTCACTTGCATGTTCTCACGATGTACAGAAATATCAGTTATTTGCTATCAAACATTTTCATAACCAATTTTTACTTTTGTTTCTTTTTCGAGATGGTAGGTTACAAAAGCCAAGTTTTACACAAACAAGGAAGGGAACTTAAGATTTTGTTATATGCTTTTCTTTCTTTCTTTCTTTCTTTCTTTCTTTCTTTCTTTCTTTCTTTCTTTCTTTCTTTCTTTCTTTCTTTCTTTCTTTCTTTCTTTCTGTTTTAACTGCAAAATATCATAACATTTCTTCAGGCCTTTCCAGACCCCTGTGAGGACCACAGGTTAAGAACCTATGCCTTAAGGCATGACAAAGCCTTTACAATGTAATCAGAAACATATAATGTTTTCCTCAGAGGAACTTACTAGGAAATAAGTTTGCAGTCTTTAAGATGCCAACCAGTTTATCTTTGCCACTTCCAAACTGTGCCATTAGGTGGTCTTAAGGATCACCAAGTATGAAAAGTTTTCAGCATTTAGCAGAAATGCTGCATAAAGATTATGCTTTTCCTAATTCTTTTATTTTGCTTTCTATCCAGGTGATTCATAACACTGCCAAAAAGAGAAAGAACTGACCCTGAGCAAATCTGTTGCTATGTGAATTCAGGGCCGAAGATCCAAAACCTGCGTTTCTACTGTGTTTTGACTAGTTTCAAACATGAAAGGAGACCAAACCATATCATGGCTTAACAGAAGGCACATTTTCTATTCTGAAAGTAAAAAAGTAAGCAACAATAAAATGTACATTTTATATAGATATGAGATAAAGCCTCATACAAAGCCAACATGTTTAGAAATTAGTTATTTGACTACCCTAACCATAGCCAGCTACTGTATTTAAATATGCATTCTGGTTTTTCATGACAAGTGAATGTAATCTATCAGGGAACTGTTAGACACTTCAGATTGCATAAAGGGGAGCATATGCTGCTAAAGTCCCTTTTACCTCAACAGGCCTGCAGTGATTTAAATAGGTAGAAGATTATAGTCTTGCAGTCCGAGGTGCCAGTGCGCTGAAGAGTTATGCGAAATCCAATGCACCACCATGTTTTGTCTGATTGCAGCTGCTGATAAACTCCATTCCAAACACTTATTATGCTTAATATGCAATATCAGAGCACACCAAGCGTTCCCCAACATGGTGCCCTCCAGATGTTTTGAGCAGGGTAGATTTAATTTACTGTAAATCACAATTTAAATTTAAAAAACCCTCTTCACTGTGGGTCAAGTTGGCTGGGATTGACAAGACAGGAGTTGCCTTGGGTACCACACTGAAGAGGATCCACATAGCTGGTTATTGACAGGTGAATATGGAGCTGATCAAAGCCATACCAGTTTTCCTGAAATTTTCCCTTGCTCAGTATCTCACTTTCAGATCCTCCCCCATGCTTCGTTAAATAGCTACAGGTTTTTCTACAGCTAGCCTCACATACTTCAAGTTATGATTCCATTGCCCTTAGGCAAATCAGGCGTTCAATCATCCGTCAACTAAGGAGCCTACCTTAAAGAATACAGTATATGGACTGAGACAGTTCAGAAGAAACATGACCCATCTGGGCAAGAAGTTTAAAACCAAGATGGAAACGTCATCCTTAACTGGATGAAAGCCCTTGGCAAACACTCCTACAAGAGGTGCAAAAGCCCTGTTTCCCCATTTCTGGTGATCAGTAAACTGAGTGGAAGACAGCAGCTTACCTTACCTAATTAATGCTAAAGAACTCTAATTTAGACAAGTTACTTTTGCTTCTTCAAGGGGAAGAGCACTGCCCCATTTGATATGGCATGCTCATCTTTTGCATCTGACTGCATATGGTGAACTGTACTGTAGTCCATGATATCCTGCACCAGAGAACACTTGGTAGACTTCAAGGAGTCACAAGACCCTTCCAGGTTTGTTGTTGTTGTTGTTGTTTTTGCTACAACAGACTAACTTGGATAACCCCCTGAACAAGGTTTACCTTTGAACCTGCAGAACAGGTTTCCATATTGATGCATCCACAATGGGCATAACTCACTAATTTTTGGATAATTTAGAGAGTAACCCACATTGTGGATGTGTCAACTAATTATGTGGGTTATCCAAAAAAAATTTAAGTTACAAGGATCAGCTCTGGTTCATCGACACCTCACGCAAGGTTTGCGCCGTCTTTCTGCCCGCAGTTCTGTGCAAACTTCCGACGATGTTATCATCATCGCTTTGAATTATCTGCTCGCCACCCCCCACCCCCCCGCCCCCTGAAGCCCCAGTGGGAGCTCCGGC